TGACACAAAAAGGTGCTACACAAATATTATTATGATATGCATGTTTTTATCCACCTAGTAGAAAAAGTATTGCCAAATTGGACTTTTTAAAACAAGCAATAATATGTTATTTTCATATCATACACTGAATGTGCTGGTGATGTTAGTCAAATTAATCTGTAATGATACTCATCCCATGATAGCAAATGACGTGAGATGATTAAGCTGGGTTGAAAAGAAACTCATAAATTATTTCTCATCCAATGTAAGTATTAAAGACATGTCTAGACCTTGCACATCAATGACAAATCAGGTGAAAAGGTTTAATCACCAAGTGGCATCAAGGTCTTCACCAGACTTGCATTTTTTATAAGTATAGTCCATCTATTTAATAAAACTGTACTAGCGGTTTACCATCATTATGTAGTTTTATTTAAGTCGGACAATTTGATACCAGTTGCGGTAGTTTTTACGTAAGAAAATTAATTTTAGTTGTTTGTATGGTACTTATTTATGCTAAAGTAGAAACTATTTATAACTTTTTGTAAAATGTAATTAACATGTTCGCTACTGCAATAGTACGGAATTTTTCATTCACATGGACCAGCGACGCACATATGCGACGGCCAGTTTCCACCCATAGACTGCCGTCGCATATTTATGTCGGGGTTCTAATGTTATTAAAATATCTTTGTAACGGTCTATTCAAAGGCAATGTACGTATGTATGCAGTATGTATGCTGCATTATCCTATGTAGCTTTTATATTTGTTTAGTTATAAACTGTTCTTGAATGATCGTTTTTTTTTTTACTTACATTCACCTCAAAACACAAACAAAAATGAACCGTCGCATATATGCGACGTTTGGTATATTTCAAGAAAACTATGATAATTTTCACTATTGTCTTCGCTGTAGACCTGGCGTCGCAAATATGCAACATTACAAAAACTTATAAAAATACAAAAAAACCAGAATAAATTATTTACAAACACGATTGTAGCATATTACAATGTAAATGATCACTGTTTTACAGGTTTTCAGCCGTGGTCTGTGTGTACTGTTATCCAAGTGACAGCCGGTCTATGTGTATACCTTGGTCTGTGGCAATGACCGCGGCGTCGCATATATGCGACGCTCAGTAGCGAACATGTTCAAGTGATAAAATAATATTATTAGTATTATTATTTGTTTGTTGTAGTTTAAATTTTCTTTTAATATTGAGTTTTGATCAATAAAGCCGTATAAAATAGGGATTGCCTTATTAATGTAATTTATCATATTTTTTCTATTTTTCTGGTAAAATCCAGAAAAAGGGTGCTGAACATTAAAATACTATTCATTCTCAATATTCCTGGTTTGTAATAATTATATTACAATATAATTCTATTTAAAACAAGCCACAATAAAACAATATGAAGTTGTATTAACATGCACTCTTCTAACATGGTTTTGATATGCCTAAGTATATAGCCTAGTGATGATACATGACAATACTAGTAGTTTAAAGTCTTGTAAAATAAATAAAATACGAGGTGTTAGCCCGTCCTACGTACGGGAGTAGTCAGTTAAAACTGTGTATAATTCAGAACAGTTAGCTTACACGTATAAAGACAAATTTTATTGCAGCCTACAGTAGAAAGAGTAATTATCAATTGAGAAGTGTATAGGCCTAGTCAACGATATCACCTTCCAATTCCATCGCATCTGCCTCTTCCATAATCAATATCACCACAATACAATTACTCATACTACATATACACAATTTCCAATAGGTCTGAATAGAAACTCCCTAAAATAAAACGAAAAGGTCCAATAAAATTCACAGTACACCTAATTATAACGTTGGTGTCCTGACATCATTAAACGAATCGTCCACACAGATCCTTTATATCAATTTTACTGCATCAAGTGTAAACAAAGAAAAGTAAAAACAAAAACATATAGTTTGTTTTGTTAAACAGCTGAGACAAAAATAAAATAATATTCATTTGAACAAAAGAACTGGTCACATGTTGAAGGAATTTAAACCATAAACACGTGAGTAAAGCTAGTGACGTAATTAATTGTCTATGTTTATTATCCATTCCGTTATCAGTTCTAATATCCTTAATAATCAAACCAACCTCATTGAATCAATGTACACCGTAATTCCCCATATTCATTTATTTAAACTATAAGATATTCAGAGCCTCCAAACTTAACCACAACTAAACACACGCCAAACAACTTTTTGGATTTCATAAAAGGATGGTTAGTCTAATTGCAGTATTCTAGGTCAATGATGACGTTGTGCTCAATCTATGTCATTAATCTGTATATCTTTGGATAAAACCCGCCTGAGGTTGTGGAGGTAATTTAAAATCGTATGCCTGAAGATTCTTGATCTCATTCTTTATGACATCAATATTTCCGGGCCTAATCCAAACAAAGTTTAAGCATTCAAAAACATTGATTGTAAACAAACAGCAACCAAGATGAATTACAACTTGTAAAAAATGGATTTTCCTACTCTTTCCTAAAAAAGTTAAGCAGTAAAATAATTTGCATGTCCTTTTTTTAAGACTTGTGTACAGAGCCTCGACTTGTATACATCGATGGTGTCACTTATCTCGGTGGTCTACTAATCTTTCTTATTTCCTATAATCAATGACAAAATCAGAGTAAATAAAATAACCTCATAGTTCTATAGAGCATTTTTATATTTAACCAGCTGTTAGTTAAAAGAAAGTAATATTTGCACTAAAACCAACCGAAGATTACAAAGATTTATTTAAAAAATCCTTTGAACATCCTAGTATTTTACTATGTGTATTTAAATAATCTGTCATCCTCTTATCGAAGGAATGAACGTATCAATGATTAGCATCACACATAGTATAAATAAGTCAACCCTTAGTATGTCTTTTAATTTGATCCAAATGCTGAATTTGTGTTACAAACGCTGAATGTTAAAATATCTGGATGATTTGTTTAAATAATCTGTCATTCTCTTATCGAAGGATTGAACGTATCAATGATTAGCATTACACATAGTATAAATAAGTCTTTTAATTTTATCCAAATGCTGAATTTGTGTTACAAACGCTGAATGTTTACAGCTGTTATGTTAAAAAAATTATACTATACCAAAAGCTAGTTTAGAATCTTAGCGTCGGCTGCTAGACTTTTCAAAAATTTAAACTTAATTTCTAAATAACTAGGACCCTAAACTAAAATTATGGCTTCGACATTCCCTAGTTCTCAAAATTATCTTTCTTTCAACACAAAAATCATGAAAATCCGTCGAGTGGTTGATTCAGAATCGTGAAATAAAAAAACCCTGTTACGTTTTAATATTATATATGTGTTCTTGTTCTCGATTTGCAAAAACCTACATTCCAGGGTATAGCCAAGAAGTGGCGTTTCCAAGGGGTTTTTAGGGGACTGAACATACAACTCTTGACCTTAACCCTTCATGGACGGGTGACGGATATATCTGCCTAAGTCTTTGCCGATAAAGGACGGGTGGCGGATATATCCGCTTCCCGTCCGGAACATCAAAAACCATAAGCGGTATCAATCAAATCAATCAAAAATTCCCCAAATGATGTTTTGAACGAGAAGTTAAGTTTTGGATCAAACATTTTATTTGACAGAGTGACCAAACTACAGAACAATAGAGGAGATAAACAGCTGATTCCCCTCCCTGAAGGTCAACACCATCAAGTAGGCATCGGCTAACCTACACTGTTATCAAACCCCGCAGTCTGGTTTTGTCCTTGGCCGGCCTCACGCGCATGTACATGATTTGTAATTATAAATGTTTTCGTGTGTGTTTATGTGTATGTGTGAAGTAACTTTGACAACGGCTTATGCAAGAGAATATGTTTGACATTTGACGACTGAAGAGAAGATTTGAAAATGGGGTTTTAACCCCAAAACTATAGTCATCCACGACAATAGAGGACTGATTGACGACCTCATTTTATGTCAAGGGATAAGACTATTAGTGCGGTTGACTGGTTCACCCCTACTCTGGCATGCATTTCAGTATACTTCCCTATAGGGAAATTGGCTAATAGCCTAAAAACGCAAGTTTACAGATCTAATTTTCAAACATTTTCCACGAGCGGTTCCCTAGACCCCCTCAGTTCCTGGCGGGTATTCCACACTCCCTTCAAGCAGATGTCCGCTCTATTGCTAAACTCCTTAGAAAGGTTGAAAGACAAAGGTCAAAACTTGGTTGAAATATAAATTTAACTTTCCATGTAAACACTTGGTCTCTTTCCAGTTTTCACTAGGTATCAAGTTTGATAGTCATTAGTCATGTTTTCATAGCCTGATCTTTGTGAAAAGACTATTATTCTCTCAAAACCTAGTTAATAACCAGTGGCTTGTAAACAAACCAAACAAAAGAGTTAGTATGGTTGAATAAAACAAAACACTTGAAGGCTGTCCGACTGATAAACTTGTTGAAAGTAGTATACTAGTTCCTTATGTCTGTATTCAAGACTCTGTTAATCCGGGAGAAGAAGGGAGCCATGTCCCGATTTTTCCTTAACCTAAGGACCCTGGTTCTCAGTGCCAGTTTTTGTAGACATAGTAAATTTAACTTGAAATTATATAGTTTAGCCACGATAACTTTAATTTTCTAATATTGTAGCCAACAAGACAGTTTTTAATATAGATTTATATTATTAACAGCTGTATTATCTGCAATTAAAGCAACTAACTGTGATACCTTGTTCTGGGAAGGTATAACATGAACCACATAAGGAACAGTAGGCCTACCAAGAACAAAGCCTTGGGGTAGGCTAATCCTGATTCAATTTATTATGCATAATCTACAACTACATGGTACTAATTAATTTGAAATAAGAGTTAGGACAAATACGAACCAACATAGTCAAATTTTTACTGTTGATAACTAAAAAAAAATAGTTATCCAAAACTTTCTTTTGTTGGTTAAATGGAGTTTCACTGAAATTCTAAGATAAGAAATTAATCTAGGCAGTAGGGAACCAATGGAAAAAACACTGATGTATTAAAATTATTTTATTTTAAAAAGAACCAAATTTGTCAGTTATTCTGAGTACATGGTTGTTTATATATTGAGTGTTAGTAAAATCAAAATATCAAACACATACTTAGTTGAAGATGTTAGGTTATAACCCTACTACCGGTACCTAATTAATATTTACCAAAAACTACTTCTACAGTTACAATAATACCACGAGAATAAACTTTTTAATACAAAATAATATAAGCTCATTATCAATTATGTCAATTATTTAAGATGGGGATGCCACTAGGTGTGTATTTTAACAGAAATATGAGTGAAGGATGAGTGTTTGAAACATTGTGTCACAAAAAACTGTTAATACTCTACGCATTACAATTTTCACTTGAAGACACACAAGCAGCTTTGATAAACTAAGTGTTGCTGAAAAACAACATGAAGCTAAGCAACAGGTGCTTAAATGAACTCTTACACAGAGTGTTCCATAAGTAAACAGCCAAATTCCGGGAAATGATTCTATGAGTCAAACAAAAGAAAACGAGAAATAGACAGCCATTTTGAATTGGACCAAGTTATTCTATTCACATAGGTTATTCTACTTACATACCAAGTTTCATAAAGGTCAGTTTGAACAATCCAAAGTAGGGATGGACGGGTCCCGAAATTTCGGGAATTTTTCAGGAAAAAAAATTCCCGATTATCGGGACGGGATTACATTTGATTCGGGAATTTTTTGGGACAGGATTTATTTTAGTCCGATCGCCGGCGATTTTGCCGCTTTGCGAGTGCCGATGACGCCGCTATTACGAGCGATAGGTCCGCGAACGCAGGAGACGAAGTCGTTTCGACAATCACGCCGTGACCGCGAGTCATACCGACGATCACCACGTGACTGCGGAGTCATATCGACAATCACGACGTGACCGCACCGACGATCGCGCCGTGACCGTGAGTCATACCGACGATCACGCCGTGACCACAGAGTCATACCGACGATCACGCCGTGACCGGGAGTCAAACCGACAATCACGCCGTGACCGCGGAGTCACACCGACGATCACGCCGTGATCGCGAGTAATATCGACGATCACCCAGTGACCGCGGAGTCATACCGTTGATCAAGCCGTGACCGCGGAGTCATACCGACGATCACGACGTGACCGCAGAGTCATACCGACGATCGCGCCGTGACCATGAGTCATACCGACGAACATGCCGTGACCGCGAGTCATACCGACGATCACCCCGTGACCGCGGAGTCATACCGACAATCACGCCGTGACCGCGGAGTCATACCGACGATCGCGCCGTGACCTCGAGTCATACCGACGATCACCCCGTGACCGCGGAGTCATACCGACGATCACGATGTGACCGCGGAGTCATACCGACGATCACGACGTGACCGCGGAGTCATACCGACGATCGCGCGGTGACCGCTAGTCATACCAACGATCACCCCGTGACCGCCGTCATTTTGACGATCGCACCGTGACCGCGAGTCATTTCAACCGCGAGTCACAAGTTTCTATAGGTACCTGTAAATTGTTACCCATTTTTTTGGCTTTTATAGATCAGTGCCACAAACGGTAAAGATTGATTTTGTATGCCTTTTTTGGTAACTGCAATACTCAAGACTTTCTTTTTATGCAAAGAAAAAAATCCCGTGCCGTCCCGTCCCGAAAATCGGGAAGGAAATAAAAATCCCGTCCCGAACTAAAAATTCAATCCCGTCCATCCCTAATCCAAAGATAAAAATGTTGATTAAAAAAATACAAAATGGTGGACATCTAGTAAGTGATTATGGAGAAAAATGTTATTCTTGATTTTCTATTTATTTTGACCCATAGAAACATTTCACAGAATTTACTTACAAGATACTCACTCAGTATGTTAGGATCAAGTGTACTTTGCACATTATGATTAAGTTCCAAATAAATGCAGCAATACTATAAAAGTAAAGAATGTTAAGGCTTTAAATGCACACTCCCAACATGATTAATACCCTCCTGCAAAGTTGCCTGCAAGATTTTACATTGGTCGAAACAACTCAAAGGACACAGTGTCAAGTTTTAAAAGTAATTTGAATAAAATATTCTATTTTCATGTTTAAACAAGAAATTCAAAACAACAGAAATTCAAGAATTTACGTCTCAAAATAATAATATTTTATTATAATTGTGGTATGTAAAACAAAAATCTAATGCAGGATCCCATCAACAACACTCAGCTTTAAAAAGGCTTTCTTAAACTACTTGAAGTTTATCTTATCTAATATCCAACCATCTTATTTCCAATGAGTAGGACTAAACCCCTAACAAGTCGTGGAGTAAGAGTAATTAGCAGTGGCAGTCCCAGAGGTGCAGTGTCAGGCAGTCCAGAGATGGGAGGGACATATCCCCCCCCCCCAAATATTTTATATTTTATTGGCTAACATAAATACTAGCTTGAGCATATTTTAGGTTTTTTAGGCTTTACATTCCACATTTAACTCTCTTTTTTCTGGGGGATATTCCATACCCCCCGGTGGTCATCCCCCCTCCCCAAAATGAAATCCTGGGACCGCCACTGGTAATTAATATAAACTAATGTAAAACAAAACATTGGCTTAAAAATATTAAATATTTAACAATATTCAAAACAGAACATTTCTTTATCCTTGTTCCGTAAACTACACTACTCATCGATTCTGGACGTTGGGAAACAAAAACACAAACTACTCACAAAACTGAATCCGATACTGCTCATTTTAATAGTGGAAAGTATAGAGGGACCCTACTAACAAGCCACCCTTGATAACAAGTGTCATTTTTAAATACCTTTTATTTTACGTTACTCCTCATCTCACTGCAAACCTCAATAAGAAGTCAACCTTGACAATAAGTTTTATTTAATAATCCCCATTAATAATTAATAATCCCCACTTGTGTCAAAGTTCTACAGTATATTATATCCTGAATTACTCAGCTCAATTGATTGTACATTATTGTTTATAAATTTTACACTAATATTTAGGAATTATGAAAGCTTTGATTTTGTTCTACAAATTCCCTAAGGCGAGTAAGTTATAGTAAATTTAATACAGAAATAAGTTAACTTTTTGCTTGACACTTAAAAAAAAAAATTAGATATAGATGTTTATATGTAGATATTTATAGAGAGCGAAAAACATAGATGCAGCTTCACAAATGAGGGTTAGTTAAGAGAAAACCATAAACATGCACTCAAACCTTACAGTATAGATGTCAAAATAGGTTTGAACAGTTAATGTCAATATTTTATATCCCCATTTGCTTGGACCCAAAGTAATAACAGAAACCCAAACATAAAACTTACAGAATATTTTAGTTCATCAGCACGTGCTACTGCATAGTAGAACAAAATAATTCATAGAGAGCAGTTTTAAGGCAGTGTAGCTTAGGAGTCAGTTTTCTTCAGAGAAGGTCTTTGCCAAAATTCCATAATATCAGTTTTGTGCTTAATATCGACTTTCTATTCCTCACCAGCGGTGTTCTTTCATAGACCTAAGATACGTACAGCGTGGCATTGGACAGAAACCCATCTGAAAGAGAAAGACTTTGTTACTGATAATCAATTTAAGAGGTAAATGAACTGAAGTGAATGGTTAAAAGAGGCCTAAATGATACTGTTAACTAATGGATACTTAAGTAGACCTCCTATACATATGGACCAGCTTTTGCCAATGTTTTATTAAAAAAGTAATTTATAAAAAAGTAAAAAAGAGCCAGTCATAGAATGTGCTAGTGTCTAAAATCCTATTTCCTACCTTATTTTTTATTGCTGACCGAGTTGATGGGTCATAGCAGTTGCTGTAGCTAACAATAAGTCCATTGGTATGACTTGGTATTAAGGTTTGTGTAATCGACAGAAATTAGTAGTTTATATCAGCTCAGTCAGTAAATACACAATAAACTACGACAATTTTTATTAAAAACCTGGTGAAAACTTTAACATGGGGATGGAAAGTCTAGTTGTATCAAACCATCAAAGATTACAGTAAGAGTTGAAAATTAGAAAATAAATGTGAGTGAAACTTTATTACAGCTAAAGTTGAAATTCTCGCATTCTTAGAAACCTAAATTGAAGATTGGGAGGGCAATGTCACTATGTAGTGGTTGACATAATTACAGGGTGTTTGAAGTTTGACAAATGTCAGAAGAGAGTTTCAACCTCCCACAGGAGTTATGAGTCTTCCTCAAATTGTCGCTGGGTGTATATGCGTTAATCTGTTTACATTTATATATTTTCAGTTTTATATATTTTCTCCTTAAATGTTTTGATTGAACAAAAATGTTCATGCAATGAAATGTGACTCACTAAGCATTTAATTCATTAACTAATGTAATTGTTAATTACCACTTAAACCTATCCCCCCAAACACATTATACAACCTCAAGAATAATATGTCCAATTACCTTCAGGCAGTCTTTGTGAACTTCATGATCACAGTTGAGCTTAGCCAGTTCGTTTGAACCAACCTGAGTATTACAAGAATCACACTTTACTTCAGGAAGAGGCGAACTTGCGGTAGATCTGAAATAAGATGACGTTTGTAATTAAAAAATTGTGACAGCATCCAGTCACATGAGGAACAGACTTATTTTCCTTTTCTCCTCTTATTCATCTGCGGCGGAATGTGGTTGGATGAGTGTTAAGATACTTGGGCCCAAAATATCTTCCACCAACCACCGCTAACTCGCGCACATTTCCTGTTGCTGCTCGAACCATATTCAAGTAAACCTAAAAACCTAGTCAAAGTGCAAAATAATACCTCAGCTACATATCACAGCCAGCTTTTATGTTTTTTTAATACATCTGATTAATAAATAGTGAACAGATTTATCTATATAAATGGACTAATCTGATTTCATAAATGTATCTACAAGTAGCTAACATGAATTCAAATATTAACTATAATAAAATGGAAACTGGACCACGAGACCACGACCGGATTGGTATATATATTAATATTCTACATAATTAAATACCGTACTATCTCATTACAGTTTTATTCAATAGTACAGCATGGAATTGAATTTTGGGGGTTCGCCTCTGAAATTGAAAGTTTTTAAAATTCAAAAAAGTTATAAGAATTATGACTTTTTTACCATGGAAATCTTCATGCAAAAGTTTTTAATGAATTGAGTATTATGACTATTCAAAATTTGATTATTTACAAAACATTGTTAGCGGTGCATTCAAATTTTTATAACTACATTAGCGAAAACTTTGACCACATCTATAACACTAGATTTAAAAATAATTTCCAATATCCGAGACACCGACTGAAGCTTCTAGAAAAAACACCTAAATACATGGGGAAAAACTTTTTAACAAACTACCCTCAACTCTAAAAATTTTAATTAATAATAAATCTTTTAAATCAGACTTGCTGATTTTCTGATAAGTAAAACATATTACAGTACAGTGTTAATGATTATTACTTCATTGAAACTAACCAATCAATATGACTTTTATTTTGTACTAGCTGTTGTACCCGTGCTTTGCAACGGAAAGAGGATACAAAACAGAAACATTTTAATCTTTATCTCTTGCATATAATAGTTACACATCCGCCAACGCTTTTAGTAACAAAATTCAACTTTTATTGCCTTAATAGAAACGTTTAAGTTATGACTTTTAAACCTGGTAAGTAGTGGATACCACCATTTTGGTTTTGATTAATTTTAAATCTTGTGTAGGCTGATATGAGAAAAACTGACCAAATCTTCGAGTAAAACTTTGACATAGGTACATGATTTACCAGGTTTACCTTCATCTCCCTTAATTACACATCTTTTAATTTATTATTGACATTTTCAATTTCAATTTTGAAGTTGCAAAAATACTAATTATTAAATTTAAATATCTTTATGTTAAACACAGAGGATACGCGTCCGGTAACCAGACGTGGAGTAGGCATCAGGTAGTGACGTCACCGGGTTGTGGGGTCCCGGAACGCCATTACCACAACGATACGATGTTCGGCCAGCGTTGTTCGTGGTGTAGTGGATAGAGTGCTCGGAAACCCATCGGTTTCTTTAACTTTTTGTCACAGATTTTGCTTTGAATGTAATTTATTCTTAACTGAGCATCTTTTGTTAGAATATTTGGTATTTATAATTTTATGTTATGAAGAGAATCGAACCTTCATTTGATTTTTTTCATTATCAGCAAGTTTGGTTGGTTAGGTTAGGTTATGACAGTAACTGCCGGACGCCTAATCCACGTCCTGTTACCGGACGCGTATCCTCTGTGTATATTAAACAATATATTAAATTAAAATTGCAAACCATTTCATCTTCAGTTTTTTCACTCACAATAAATCATTAGCAAAACTAAGTCAGCTGTTATAAATTTTAGAAATATTGCTGTGCCTTATCAATACAGTCTGTTGAAATATTAAATAAACAATATCTATAGGTACTATAGAGAATTTCAAACAAATAATTTAGCATTAAAGACAGCAGACAAAACTAATATGATTATCAAAGCATCAAGGACTAAAAAATGTAATAGCAAATACAGTATATGTTTCATTGCATCTCTGATTCAACTATACAAAAATATCAACAAACAACTTAATATACAAACCAGTTCTTTTAATCAGTTCCATCGTCCATTGCATTTACATTTTCACACTTACCATTAAGAAAACATAGTAACAGATATTTCATTGATTTTAGAAACAAAAGAACACTGTGTACTGCTTAGTTTTATGATATTATCCTTGGTTTAATTTAATCAGTGGTGTGGCAAAACACAAATAATAAATGTATCATATAAAGTAAATGTGAACTGAAAGCTATGTTAAGATAAAATAAGAGTATTTTGTATTACCATTTGATAATTAAATATAGTTACACATATACAACAGATTTTAGAAAACAAAAATCAACGACAATTTAGTTATTGATGATATTCTTTAATTTAATTTAAGCATAGGTTTAGCAAAACACAATAACTTAATTTACCTAAATATACTTATAAAAAACAATGTGATGTGCAAGTTAATCTAACACATGTGAAGCAGTTAGAATTGATTTAAAGTAGCCTCCAAATTCATAAAACACATCCATACATTAATTGTAATTTTCATACTGTTTCCATGAAAACATACCAATAACATTATTTTCACCTAAGATTATTAACTTAAGACGCTTTAAAAATCCAAAGCAGAGCCGGAGTTGATACAGCAACGGTTATAAAATCTTTTTTTGTATAATCATTGACATAGTTTTAGAATAAATAATCCATGATAAAAGGTTAGGTTAAAATAAACCTACCTCATATTTATGGAAAATATTATATTTAATTTCTTTGTATCAGCTGTCTGAAATTGTGAAATATGCAGTTTAGCAGTTCTTCTTGTTTATATTTAAATGTCAAAGCAAATGTAAACAAACATTGTTAGTGTTCTCATCACAGCCATGGAGACCAATCAATATTTACTTTTAAAATTTTCACCTCAGAACTTTTAAAGTCAAAGGGGCAAAGCCTACGGTCAGTATCGAAATGTGAATAGTCCTATAATGGTCCTTGGTATTGTAGCTATATTTTTGTAAAATTTAAGCCCAGTTGGTTCAGTAGTTTTTGCACCTATTAGTAATACACATACAGACAGACACCATTAGATTTTTATATAATAGTATAGATGACATAAAAACTTATTTTTTTCTGTTATCGTTCAACAAATTTTGCCAACTTGTTTAAAAACATTGTTTAATGCATAAGACATATTGTTGTACATTAAGTAAAGTTAGTAATAATCTTGACAATGGCATATGTTTTTTAGCTGGGTTATGATTCAAAACGTTGATGTGACAATAAAGAATTATTTATTTATTTATTCGTCTGCTTGGACATGGACAATTATTACACATGGTTTGGAAAAGGGGGAATGAATTATTATATTGACATACAAATTAAAAGAAAAACATAAGGTGAAAATTGAATTATTTTATGGACAAATATCAGTGCAAATATACTGAATTGTTACAACTTCACTCATTCTTCCTCCTGTACAACTAACAACGCCGGAAAAATGAAAAACAATTTACCTCGCTCCACCCTGAATAAATGAGTTGAACTATTATATGGATATTCTCGACATTTTTATCCCTATACAATGAATGATTTCGTCATGGTAGCAGGAGGCCATGTGAAGGAAAATCAATGCTCCTGTCAAATACGAATTGCTTTGTGATTAAATATCTGTATTCTAAGGCGTTAACAACTATTGTCCATTGCCAGTTGACAAATGGGAATGAAGTAAATTAATTGGTAGCCTAGTAGAAATTTTATGCAAAGGGTGTTAAGAGTTTGGAGTTGATTGTAGACATTTGAAAAACGTTTTTCATGGTGTCTGCGGTAAGAGCACATTTTGAAACACGAACAATGGTAAGCCCTGGTGGTCTTAAAGACATCAGCTAAGTATCCTCACATTTAGTCACTATCTCGATGTAACTAAACTAACTCGATGTAACCTGCTCTTGGTCTTGATGTGTAAAATTTTCTGTCCCTGCAAACTTCTTAACCACATTGCAAACTTTCTGCGTCCAAATGTTTTTCTGATAACATATTTGTCAACTGGCATCAGATTCAATAGAAGTTGGCTTTCTTCCGAAAGGGTTTTGATCCACAGAACCCGATCTATGTTGGAAGCATTGATTTTCTATAACATTTTTTTTGCTACTATGACAATGACAATACTATTTGTCATATAGGAGAGGAAACCGGCTTGAATAGAAGTAAAATCAGCAAAGAAAATGAGGATGGTTTCAGACTTCAATTTGCTCACTTGACCTCATTTGGAGATCTTATATTACACAAAGTAACATTATAACATATAGTATGTTAAGTTTTTAACATAAATTATAAACTTACCGAGGGGTTTCAATCAATTTTTGGCAGAAAGGACAATAATTTTTCTGAAAATAAAATACAATATTTAACATTCTTTTCAACAATTACACATCTTTCAAAAACAACTGTAAATAATTATTTAACAATATTCAAGATTTTACTGTACTGCTATGCATTACCAATAATGTAAACAAATATAAGTAGAGTTTTGGTAAATATATTTTGAGTACCTTAGTACCTACTACACTCTGTATTCGAAAATAGCCCATTTACATACAGCTGGGATCTTAGAAAATCTTCAATTTACAGACACCAAAAACACATAGTGATCTACTGACTTTTCCTGACATAAACAATACTTTCGCTACACAAACAATACTTTGCCTGTCATTAACAAAGTTACAATCAGCTGAATTTTACACTAAAATTAACTAGCTGTTACCCACGGGCTCCACCCCGTTTTACTACATTAGTATTAACTAGGTGGCGTTCGCAGAGGCATCCACAAAATTGAGCGGAGTCATAAAGGGTTAATATTGTATTGTTTTTATCATACTGCAGTAAAAACAGTTGTTTTTAATGCATGCGTTGCGGGTCTAAAGTAGCATTTTTACTCTTTAGGGAGGAAAAATCGTTTTTAGCCTCTATGGAGTAAAAATCAGTTGTTGTCAACTCAGTTGTAAATTTCTATTGTAAACGATTGCATGTATCGAAATATGTATCGATTCGTGCTTCGTAATCATTTTAATCTACAGTCTCTTCCCATAGCGTTCTAGCATTGCAGATACATTAATCCAATCCCACACTCAACACTGCTCACCTTTACTACTTCCTTTACCACCCCCTACGTCGTGGACCTGTTTCCCTCTCTTCCCATTGCATTTTAGCATTGCATATAAATTAATGTGATTGCCAAAGATAGTTCCTACTCTCTGCACTGCAAGCCTTACTACTTCCTTCACCATTTCCTACGTCATATACCTGTTTCCTTCCCTTCTCATAGCATTTAAGTATTAGATACATTTATCTAACTGCCCAAACGGTTCCCCCACTCTGCACTGCCAGTCTTTACTACTTCCTTCAACACTTCCTACGTCGTGTGGCCTGTTTCCTTCCCTTCTCATAGCATTTTAGGATTAAAGATACATTAATCTAACTGCCACAGACGGTTCTCACACTACGCTCATACTTTACTACTTTCTAAGCCACTTCCTACATCGTGGACCCATTTTCATCACTTTCCATAGCAATTTTGTATTTTAGATACGTTAATCTAATTGCCACAAACATTCCCTACACTCCACACTGCTAGCCTTTACTACTTCTTTCACCATTTTCTATATCGTGGGGATGCTTCCATCCCTTCTCATAGCATTTCAGCATTGCAGATACATTAATCTAACTGCTACAAACGGTTTCCAGTTCCCACACTCCACACTGCTCACCTTACTACTTCCTTCACCTCTTCTTACGTCGCGGACCTGTTTCCCTCTCTTCCCATAGAATTTTAAGATTGTAGATACCTTAATCTAATCGTCATAAACAGTCCCCACTCTCCGAACAGCTCGCCTTGACTACTTCATTCACCACTTCCTACGTCTCGGACCTGTTTCCCTCCCTTCCCATAGCATTTTAGGATTCCAGATCCCTTAATCTAATCGTCATAAACAGTTCCCACACTCCGGACTGCTCGCATTACTACTTCCTCCACCACTTCCTACGTCACGGACCTGTTTCCCTACCTTTCCATAGCGTTTAGGATTGCAGATACCTTAAAAATCTAATCGTCATTCGTCATAAAAAGTTCCCACACTCCGGACTGCTCGCCTCTACTACTTCCTTCACCACTTCCTACGTCATGGACCTGTTTACCTCCCTTCCCTTAGCATTATTGGATTGCAAATACCTTAATCTATTGGTCATAAACAGATCCCACACTCAGAAGAACTCACCTTTACTACTTCCTTCACCCCTTTCCTACGTCACGGACCTGTTTCCCACCCATAGCATTTTCGGATTGCAGATACCTTAATCTAATCGTCATAAACATTTCCCACATTCCAGACTGCTCACCTTGACTACTTCCTTCACCACTTCCTAAGTCTCGTACCTGTTTCCCTCCCTTCCCATAGCATTTTAGGATTGCAGATACCTTAATCTAATCGTCACAAACAGTTCCCACAGTCCGGACTGCTTGCCTTTACTACTTCCTTCACCACTTCCTACGTCACGGACCTGTTCCCTCCCTTCCCATAGCATCATATGATTGCAAATACCTTAATCTAATGGTCATAAACAGATCCCATACCCCAAACAGCTCGCCTTTACTACTTCTTTCACCACTTCCTACGTCGCGGACCTGTTTTCCTCCCTTCCCATAACATTTTAGGAATGCATATACCTAAATCTAATCGTCATAAACAGTTTCCACACTCCAGACTGCTCACCTTTCTTCACCACTTCCTACGTCACGGACCTCAAGCTAGTGTCGTCTTTTGATTATATTTATGATCCATACCGTTTCTGTTCTAGTATATTCTGTGGAATCATGCTATCAGCTACTTCTTTATCTACTGCATTCAAAAGTTAACAGCTGATCATATGTCTTTGTTTATGTGTCAAATACTGCTTCCATAAGGTTTACATTGAAACTTTGAGACCCAGTGGGGCTAATTCCTGAGAGACATGTTTAACGCCATATTGATGTTAGCACTCACCGATATGGTCTTTATCACCATGCAAAATTTGAAAACGATTGATTCAGCCGTCTAGGAGGAGTTTGCGTATTACGAAATGCACAAGAGTCGACATATAAGAGCGGAGCGAGCGGGTTAAGTTAAGATGAAATAAACAAAACAGAATACAGTAATGGTAATACAAACAAATAATAACAGCTGAGGTATTTTTAACATTAGGTAAATGGAAAGTTCCCTTCGGAAAGCAATTACAACCTTATAGGGCAATTTATGAAATAATGGATAATTTTGCACAAGGTTTCTCGTCATGACGAACATTTTAAGTATATGGTTTATGGGGGTGTGACTTGTAGTTTTCTCAAAAGTTCATGGGTACTTTTGGCTTTATATATAGATTGTACAGCCAATTGTGTTTAGATTTAAAAATTGAATAGATTAGGAATTATAAGATATTTTTTTAAATGTGATGAAGTTGTTTTTTTCATCGCGATAAAAAGTATCGTTCAATACTCGTCACAAAAATTTCATTTCAGGGTTCGATAGTGTTTCCCTCCGAAATGGGTCACTTTTGTGACTAGTATTGAAATATTATTTACATTTCAAGATTGAAATATAGGCCTACAATATGTTGGTTGAAGAGAAGTAATTGCATTGTTTTATTAAAACTTAAAACGTTTGCCTCACTACACAGTAAGCAGCTGGCTTCTGTTCTCTTTGTAAATCAGAAATTCGTATCCAGAAAGAGTTTGATCAAATCAGTTGAAGTTTGCTCAAGTCAGCTGGAGTGTGGTAAAATTAGCTCCTTCATAAAAACATACTATCAGTTTATTCAATGGGCTCTTATTCTAAACAAAGCTAGGTTTTAATATTAGACATGTTTGGGCAGAGACGTTGCACTTTCACTACCACGGGAAAGGTTTTAAATCATTACTTTTCCTAAAGATGAGTTGAAATATTAACGGGTTATTTTAATTTATTTATGTGTTGAGCTTATCTTACACTCTAAATTTGTGGCTGGTTGAGTGACAAAAAGTATTGTATGCAACTCACCTGGAAAGGTGTTACGCTAGGTAATCAAAAGGAAATCAGGTGCGAGGATTGCTTTGTACTGTAACCACCATGCTTGTACTGTAAACAGCCACGGTCTTGTAGCAATTAAATCACAGAGTTAGACCTAATTTGATATTACTGTACTACGCAGTTTAAATTTAGGTTTACCAAACCTAACATACAAGCTTTGAACATTTGGGCTTAAATTAATACCATGTATTTCAGGACAAACTGGCACATGGTACATAAAGGCCTCCTCTAACAGACCCTTAAAGATTTCAAGTGACAATCTCAGCCTTTTTAAAAACAAACTTTAGTAACGACATAGTTAGGCTTACCCCAGCAATACAGCGACTGTGGAATATATGTCCACAGCTCAGTCTGTCAATGTTTTCTTTAGCCAATGGTCCTCTACAAGAGCCGCATACGGCTTGTTTCTGCACAGGGGGAGACCTGAAAAATGTAAATAAACATTTAATTTACAAAAAATGTAAGCACTACCATATTAATTGGTAACAATGAGCTACTTCCATTCGCTCCCATGTATAATAAATTACAAGAATATTAACTTAAATATTTTTTGCCGCTGAATCACATTCATAAAAATACAAATATTTTAAGGGTTGATTGTAAAATAGGTAAGGTGTTTTTAGTGAATTTCTCTAATAGGGAAGAAGCTACAGTAAAACCAAGATTGTCCGGGGTGATGCTTGTACCTCAGAAAAAAGGCATTTTTCATCAGGCGAAGGAGCGAGCTGGAAACCGGAAGTTTGAAGTTAGCATAGCTATTTATTATTGTCTATAACTTTATTTTTTAAAGAACTAACAAAAATATGTCAGAACCTTTGAGAACTAACGAAGGAGTAACAATTTAGTATATAGATAAATGTATATTCTCTAGATTAAGGTGCACGCTGGAAATGCTTTTAATGTGAACTTGGCATAACAACTCGTTATATCTTATAGCTTGGTAATTTTCGAGGACTAACAAAATAAGACATTTTGGCCTGCAGTGGTAGGCCTACATAAAAAGTACCTATACTAGCACACATGATAAAGATTTTTCAGAGGCTTTTATGACAAGCTCAAACTTCTTATGTAGAATTCATTATTGTATCTCCAGCGGTCCTGTAGTTATCGTAATCGTCTCCCACGGCTGTGAAGACAAAGTAATTATTGTTTCCCGCGGTTCCGGCAAAATGTTAATCATTCCCGCAGTTGTGTGGCGATCATCATCGTCTTCCGCAATCGCGGAAAAATTCTTGCTGTTGTTTCCTGCATTCATGTGAACATTATCATCGTCTTCTGTGATCGCGGCAATATTCTGATCATTCCTCGCGGCTCTGTAGATATCATCATCGTCTCCTGCCATTGCGGAAAATGCTGATAATCCCTCGCGGCCGTGTGTTGATATGTTGTCGACTCCCGCGGTCACGGAAACAACACTGTTGTCATTCGCGATGGCAGTAAATTGAAAACTCCAGGTGGATATACAAAATTCACGCATAATTCCCAGTTAAAAAACTCAAGCATAATTCTCGGATTCCCGGTTTTCCCCGTCAGTGGACACCCTGTAGGCCCTATATATATTGCAAAGGGGCGCTACTATTAGTTGTGTCTAGGGCGCTGACGGTGTCAAAAACGGGCCTGAGCTGAGGTTGCCTGTTTTCCTTAAAATGTACCAGACAGTTGTATATTAATTGCCTGTAAACAGTCATCACTCCTAAGTCACGGAACATTGACCTACAGTGTTCATGCCTTGCGCTGGACGCTGGACGATATGGCTCTTATAGCATATCCTTTTGAGTTTTTAGAATGCTTCTCGTCTCCGAAGCGTGCCCCCAGACAATGACACCGTAGCTCATTAGGCTCTGGAAGAGGCCATACAGTAATAACTTAGGCTAATTCTAAGTTGGAATCAGTGACTAAGTTTTTTAGATTCCTTAGGCCTAGAAGGAAAACCGTTCTGGAAAGTTTGGCATCTAACTCACCTACCATGTGTTTCCCATGTCAACTTGCCATCCAGCCAAAAACAGAGTAGTTTCATAGGTTGTTGTTGTAGATTCTGATGTTTTAGACTGCATATCAGTTCCTGGGTTTTGTCATTATTTATTTTTAGCTTACCATTAGGGAAACAGGCTTTAGCTTCGTCAAGGATTTTGAGTGTTCCAATTTGCAGTTGGTCGGTACTACTTTGTGATGAGGTTAGTGTCATCGGCAAAGAACATAAGTTAAAGTTCTTCCCTCAGTCCCCAGGTCATTAATAAAAATTAGGAAGAGCACAGGTCCAAGAACAGATCCCTGTGGGACCCCTAGGCTGACATTCAGGTCACTGGAGAGAGCTCTTCAGCTCAGATTTTCATATTATTTGGGACCTCCAAAAGATATTAAAACACTTGCCAGCTTTAGACGATTTTTTGGGACAATTTGCCTGGTCTACTAGGCTACCTACAGTAGAGTCCCTCTTATCCGTACTCCTCGGGACCGGGGCCAGTCCGGATAACCGTTTTTCCAGTTAAACCGACATCCCCAAAAACTCGTTATAACGGACCGTTTAAATGCATACTGTATACAGTATATGACTTAAATTTAGGAGAGCATTGTATTTCGACACACGTGATCATTGGTCTCAATGTTTCCCACGAGAACAGTTGTTTCAGTACCCCTCACTTCCTGCAGTTGATCTGCTCCGGTTAAACCGATGTGCTGATAAAAATTGTCCAGTTAAAGAGATGTCATTTCTGCCGAGTGTAGTCTGGTTAAACCGATGTCCGGTTAAAAGGTCCGGATAAGAGGGGAGTATACTGTACCTGAAATGGGTACACCTCTAGCCTAGGACCTAACTTAACTTAAAAGTTAGGATAGGTATTGAAATTAGCTAAGTTGCATAGGCTACTACATCAATGGAACTGGGATTTAAGCTTGGCCTAAACGTCATGTAGCCTAGGCCTGGCATACAAAAAAACAGAATGGATAGGCACCCTAAGTTAGAGATAGTTAATTACCTTGGATCACGATGCAGATACTCTTTTCGATTTTGTCCATAAAAATCATATTGTCTTTCTTTGCGGCTCTCCCTCTCCTTAAATGCTTCATAAAGAGCAACCCCAACAGCAAAAACAATTCCCACAACTCCAGCAATCAAATAGTTGCCAGCCATGGTTTGGTTACTTTACTTTACTATTACTATGTATTACTTTACTACTAGGATAGTGAGTGATAGAATCAATGTAGTATTATTGTTTTATTTACTAAAGAACAAAGACTGGGCTCAATGAAAACCTCTTTGGCCAGCAAAGCCGAGCAGCCGAGCCGAAGCCATAGAGAATAATATAGATATTAGAGTGTCGGTCGGCCGGTCGGGTCGGGACGGGACGAGACTCGGGACAATGGGAATTGGGCGGTAAGGGAAGGGAATGGACAATGAATCGGAACCGGGTACAGTTTCTTAACTGGGCTATGCTAATATCGCTTGAAACTATCGAATTGAAAATATTGATTAATAATCAATATTTTTAATTATATTTACTATAAAATTAAACTATCATAACCTAACCTAACCAACCAAACTTGCTGATGGTGAAAAAATCGCATGAATGTTTACTAATCGAATCGATAGTTTCAATCGATATTAGCATAGCCCAGTTAAGAAACTGTACCCGAACCCAGGGCTAGACCCGAACCAGTAACATGAGTAACATCGATATTAGTATCGATAGTAATATCGGCCTTTAATCATCGATGTTAAAAGAATATCGAAGTCAAAATATCGACATTTTATTTTAAGTACTGTATCGCGACCATTGCACCTGTCGGCTACTCTTTGACCACTTGAAAACTCTTATATATCATCATCAATCACAGATAGCTTAAAGGTAAGGTGAGGCTCATATATGGCAACGATACCAGGTTCAAGACCCATCTGGGCAAAAAAAGGTTCTTCTTTTTTTCAAAGTTTGTGTTTATTAACTATTTAATCAATGTACTCAACTGATAATTAAGCGTTTCATATTAACCTGAATGGTGATTATTTTGAGGTTTTATGTCTAGGCCCAATGGCCCCAGACAGGACACTTTATCCCAGGAACATCCCATAGCAGTCCCATATGAGAATGTCCTGAGGACTACCCTGGGATGACCTCATAGCATGTGATCTGTGATGTGAGCTTATCCGTGAGACATTCCCAGGTGGGGACATTACGCATTCCTGCGAATATCCGGGGATATCCCAGGTTGACCATAGCACTAGACTACTAACTTATATGGGATATCTTGCATATCCTTCACAATATCCGTGGGATGTCCTGAGGAGAAAGTGAGCTGTCTGGGAAGGGAAGTACAAAAACAAGGTGAGCACTTTTTCACCTCAAATTAGTTGACGAATATCGAAATTGGAAAATCGATACTTTTACAGCTCGATTGTTTTTAGAATTTAGTACATCGCGATATCGATAGTCCACTCCCACGTCCCACACCATCCATTCCCGTTCTCCTTTGACTTTAATGGTAGATGGTAGATCATTAGGAGAGAACATATAATTGTAGCGCCTAGAGACGTAATGTCAAACATTTTTTAAGAGAATACATAAATTTGTTAATACCTTACGAAAAAATTATTCTTCAGTTTCTATTTATCAGTAGGATAGTGATGGGAATAAAATTAAATGTCAACAGTTGAAAAGCTTATATCTAAGGTTATGTTCATTGACCAGAATTTGTTTTAATCAAAACTGAATATCATCAGATGGAGGCCATTTCTGTTAGGTACCTAATTTGTATTATTATTGTTAGTATCAACCCAGCTCTTGTAAAAAATGCCAAAATTCCACCTTCCTGAGAGGGAGTGTAATTTGCTCTTTTCTAACTCTTAAGACTAATTTTAATTTTAAAGCTTAATGATGAATTAAAAATTACAAAATTATGACCTTGCTCACAGAGTTCTTAGAAATTTTATTCCTGATTCCTTTATTAATCTTATTTTTTGTCCGGAGAATTGTATGACCTTGCTCACAGTTCTTAGAAATTTTATTCCTGATTCCTTCATTAATCTTATTTTTTGTCTGGAGGTCGATATGATTATAGCATAGATTAAACACTCCCTTTGGGAGTATGTTTAATCTATTATAGTATCTACTCAAGAGTATTGAATTGAATGTAACAGTAACTAATTTAGTATCAATTTATTCAGCTCAAGGGGTCTCTTTTATAAGAGGCCTACCACTTAAAAGGTTTAAATTATATTTTAAAATTTAGTAGCCTATTGAAAGTTAAAATTAAAGCCATTGTCCGATTCGATTACTCTAAAAGTATCGATTTTCCAGTTTCGATATTCGTCAACTAATTTGAGGTGAAAAAGTGCTCTCCCAAAAACAAACCTCCCAGTGCGGTTCCCCCTAGGAGGATTAAACATTAAGAAACACGCTCGAGTTTCTTTGAAGCCCAGATAGCAGAGAAAGCTTTCAGTTAGTTCATAATAAACTTTCAGAGGCAACCCAAGATGGTTGCAGCAACTATGCATTGCAAACATTTTCATTTGTAACACGTTTGCTGCAAGTATAAAAGTAACCCCATCTCAGACTTTCTGAAAAGTTTCGCCGTGTGTTTGAAGCAAGGTTGCAAGGAATAGTTGCGAACCACTTGCAGGGAATGGTTGCAGATGACTTGCAAAGATACCGTGCTGCAAACATACAATGAATGTTTTTATCAAGCTACCAAAGAATGCTTGTTAAACACTTGCAGGGAATGAATGCAGATGACTTGCAAAGATATCTTGCTGCAAACACGCACTGAATGTTTTACCCAAGCTAGCAAAGAATGCTTGTAAAACACGTGCAGGGAATGAATACAGATTACTTGCAAAGAAATCTTGCTGCAATGATGCACTGCATGTTTTAATCGAGCTAGCAAAGAATGCTTGTAAAACACTTGCAAGTAATCTTTGTAGATGACTTGCAAAGAGTACTTGCTGCAATTATGCTCTGGGTTGATTTCTTAGATTAGAAAAAAATGTTTGTCAAATATTTACAGGGAATCCTTCTGCTTCGCATTTGCATTTCAATGACATGTACGAAGATGACTTGCAAAGATAATTTACTGTAAATATGCACTGAATGTTGAATATAAATATGAAAAGAATGTTTGTTAAATAATTACAGGAAATCTTTGTAGCTGATTTGCTAACTGCTACCAATGTGCACTAAATCTCATTGTTGAATTTAGCGAAGAATTCTTCTTGTGAATGTATCAAATATCTTCAACCTTAGCTAAATTTAATCATCATAATGTTTCTATAAATGTAATAGCAAAAATTTAGTTTTCAAAAGTTATTGACTAGTATCTTATTAATTATTTTATTATTATATTAAAAGAAAAAATACATTTTACATAAGCCAAAATTTGTTTAAGACAGCAGAAAATATTAAAACAAGCATTCATTTATCATAAAAAGTTTATTTAAGAATTCAAAAGCTATAATTTCTTCTAAAACTAGTCTTAACAAGATAACATGTAGAATACAATTATAAAACAGATAAAATTAACTAACGGAGTTTGAACTAAGAGTGTATACTTGGAGCTGTTTACTCTTAAAATACAATACAAGTTTGTATAAATATGGGTACTAAAATCGTTGGTTATTAGTTGTAGTAACCATTTTAATAGAGTGTTTTTACTTGGTAGGCCACTATTTATAAGGGAAGACAAAGAACTAAAAACTACACATTACATTAAAAAGATTGTGTATAGAAAAACATAAAATGTAATATTGTAAACACAAATGTACGGGTTTATTTAGGTTTTTTCACAACACAGAGAAAATTTAACTGTGCTGAAGTTACAATTTCATATTTGGTGTGACTTCCATAATACTGCAAATATGCATGAGTAAAATTTATCTTAAAAAGTATGTAAAAATATGTCAAAGATCGTGCATACTGACTGATGGATAACCAAAGATTATATGACCGTTATTCATACTAAAATTTTCGTTTATTTTTGTAAGATCGAAAAGTTAGATTCCGAAATTTCTGCTTCTTCTCATAGTTCAAGTTCTACAATCAAAAATGTTTGTGAAAAAAACTTTAAATATGTTGGACAGGCAATAAATTCACAGATGTTTTAAAATAAATATATTTTGGGGAACTTCAATAAAGAATAAATTATAAAAATCAACCATAAAATATATCAATTATTACTAAGGTGTTTGTCCAGCCAAGGGTGCTCACAAGGGCAATGTTTATCCTCCAGTGCTAGCTTTGATTCCCTGAAACAGCAATACAAAAATTACAATAAAATAATGTTCAAAAGTTGTAACTTTTCTGGCTCAAAAATATGTTGTATTTTATCAAAACTGCCAACAAAAATCTCATTACGTGAAAAAATTAAATAGAAAGTCATGAGAATTTAACATAGGACCTTATGAGGTGCCACGTTGGAAACATATTAACAAAAAAACCTTAACATAGGCATAAGTTATATAATGTAATGTATGTCTATCTGCAGTCACGTTTTTTGGTACTTTCCTTCTAAAGGGAACATTCATGATTATCGATGATTACTTTACGATTTATCGATATTTTGGGCTTCCTTTACTATCCATATTCCTTCGCTTCTGTTTGATTTATTCAAACGCATTTAAACTACGAATTGAGAACTTGCCTATTTGGATTAAGAAATGAACCTATATTTCAAACTAACCCAACATACCAACTAAACAAATTTGCTGTAGGCTAAGTTTAAGTTACCATTTAAAAATTCCATTTGATAAGATAAAAGGCATGTGGGAAATGGAATCGGCTACCTATCAAACGGAATTTTGAAATTTTACAGCAAGTTTTGTTAAGTTAGTTTAGTTTAGAACAGTTTTATTCCAATATTTTTTTTTATGTTTGTTGATACTGAACAATATTTTTTATCGTAGTTGTCCGCTAATATGTTTCAATTTGTCAATATCCATATATTATGGAATAAAAAAATCAATATATCGAAAATAAATCATCGATTATAATGTACGTTCCCTTGAACAGTAGAGGACCAATTCTTTGTTTATAAACTACAGATATTTCACTAAATAATTTATAAATGGAAAAACATTTTAAATAACACTTTTTTAAACGAATGAAGAAGTTAAAAATAATTTATAAATATGTGGAGAGAATAAATACTTGTAAGATTTAAAACTAAAAATGCTTGACGCATGCAATATCTAATTTACAATTATCTTAAACTACAAATAAATAACTATTGAACTTTTATTATCTACCGCATGCACCCGCGTTTTTCGT